CCCTAAATGTTGGCAACCAATTACCTATAAAGTTACCAATAGAAATCATGGACTTCGAGATAATACACTCTTTTACAGTAATGAGGCTTATTATACTGAGTGTTTAAAAAATCTACAAGAACAAAAACAGCAGTATGAAATATCTAAAATGAAAACTGATAATAACGAAACTTCTACACAGACTGATATCTTTAATAATATTAAATTTATTTCTCAACTTGAATATCAACAAATTTTATTTAAATAACAAACTAATCAAAAACAACAATATAAATCTAACAATAAACAGACTTAACAACAACAACAATCCGAACACTTAATGTTGTTAGTCGAAATTATTTTATGCTTTGTAGAAATATTTCGACTTTCGACATTTAGCATATCAAAAGTCTAAAATAGTGTCAAAAGTCTAAAATAATACCAAAAGTCTAAAATAATGCTGAAAGTCTAAAATAATGTCGAAATGCCTAAATAATGTTGAAATGCCTAAATAGTGTCGAAATGCCTAAATAGTGTTGAAATGTCTAAATAGTGTTGAAATGGCTAAATAATGTCAAAATGCCTAAATAGTGTCGAAATATCTAAATAGTGTTGAAATATCTAAATGGTGTTGAAATGTCTAAATAGTATCAAAATGTCTAAATTAAATTTAATATAAAAATTTTCAGGTACATAGTATTATTTCAAAATGAGTGCTGCAGAGTGAAAAGCTGGAAGTGAATATTTTAAGTTTTCACTATAGCGAGTTTAGCCCTGATGAATTGCAACATTATGTATTGAAAATCAGTATTCTGATAATTTCAGTAACATTGTAATTTAAAAATCAGGTAATTAATAGAGCTGATAAGCCTAATTTATATTTCTATATTAAAATGATATATACTATCGAAACTGATCGTACACATGATTAATTACATAACATCAGAATTCATCAAGGGCTAAACTTGCCATAGTGAAATTTTTAAATATTTACTTCTAGCTTTTCGCTCTGCAACACTCAAATGATGTATGTTGCACATCAAAATACAATCACAATAATTTAGAATTCAGTGGATTTTATATATACTTGAAGTGAAATATAATTTTATATTGAACTATACAGAAATTTTAAATTACTGTATAAACAATTAAGAATATAATTGTAGCTAGATATTCATATAAATGATGATACTAAGAGAAAAAGTACTCCAATCATATAAAATAAAATAATTGGATTGCTTTTCTTTTGATGTCACTCATATTGCTAGAAAAAATCTACAATAGTGAAATTACAATCTATCTTGTGTCAAAAAAATATAAAAAAATTTCACAGATACTTATAAAATACAAACTTACATGTTAAAATTTTAAGGTAATATCTTAAATTATACAAAATTCATAATTTCAAGAACATATCACTTGATAAAATCTCAGGAACTTTTGTATTTGATTATATCTGAGAAAGTTGATTTAAACCAAAAATATATCCAAGATTCGTTATTTGCTAGACCTATAAAAAAAATTGTATTAATATAGTTTGCAGAAAACAGTATGAACTTCATTAGTATGTAAGTGTTTGGCAGTAAATTTGTACTAAATAAACTATAAATGGCTCTGGGTTTTGTGACAGTTTGCGAATCTAATAAACACAAGTTTTGATATAAGAATTCGCATACAATTTCACAAACCTTTTTTATATCTATACGTATTATCAAAAATATATGTATCTGTACATATTTTATATTATTTCAAATATTGCAGGTTTTAGAATTTAACTTATTTTGAAATAAGTAGGTGCTTAAAAATTTTTAATGCTTTTAATTATTAAAGTCAAAAATGAAATAGAAGTTCTATTTTATAAATTTTTCAATTTTGATGTTACTATCACTATCATAAAGTAGAATTTATATCACTTATTTTGAATCATCTAATTTATTCAAAATCTGAAGCCCAGAAACCTCTATTATTTCATCTTATAAAGATGTCTCTATATACTATACTAAACATGCCATCTTATATACAGTCAGACCTCCCTAAATGCAATGTGACAGGACTATATATAAAATTTAGTCAAATGTGCACTTAGAGATATATTGTATTTAGGGAGATAAAAATCTATAGTTGGTCCTAAGAGAAGACATGCAACTGAAAAGGTGTTTCATAAGATGTGCACTTAGGGGGTAGCATTTAGAGGGGTCTGATTATATTTCTTATACCAACTTGTACTATATACTATACTACTTTTTTATAGAATAATCAGTTATTGATTAAACAATAATATGAATCAAATATTAAAATCTTTATTTATTTTAAAAGTTTAATAAAAAACAATTCAATTTGAAAACAAAATAATATGTTAAACCTTCTTAAATGCAATGTGACAGGACTATATATAAAAATTTAGTAACATGTATTTAGAAAGATAAAAATTTATAAATGTATAGAATATGCACTTAGGGGGTAGCATTTAGAGGGGTCTGACTATATTTGCTATTAATAACTGAAAAAGCTACTATATACTATGCACTAATACTTCAACCTCTGCACCAAATTTGTATTCATCAAATTCTTCAGCATTGAATTCTTCATCGAGTTCTTCATTATTCTTATCTATATTCTCATCATCAGTATTTGATTCTACCTTATTTAATTCTATAAAATTTTCAAGTTCTAAGTTTTGGTATTCGATTTCAGGATCAGAAGAATTTGCAAATTCACTTAAATTATCTAAATTATTAATATTCTCTTCATTAATTTCAGAAAATAAATCGATATCTTGAAAAATAGTTTGCAATTCTTCTTTTGTTAAATCCAACCCATAATAATGTAGCTCTTGCTTAGCATTTGACATTAAATAAGAACTTATTTTTACCATTGACTCGAGATTCTTTGTTCCTAAATTATTACATCAGTCTCCTAAAAACTATTCACAACGTGACCACACACGCTCACAACTTGCAACATGAGGACGTACTGAAAATAATTTAATTGTTAAGGAAGAAAAAATACCTGGTTTTGTTCATTACCATCTCCAGTAGTTTTCTACCATTGAACTGGACTATCAAGAGTTGATATATAAGATCTATTATAAGGCTCCTTATTACAAGCATATTGGTGTAATTGTGCTTTCAATACTTCAAGACCATCCTTTTTAGCATTAGACTTCATTCGAATCCATAAATGGCCTGCAATTCCAGCTATATAAGAAATTGTGATTGTTTAATTCCAGCACCTACAATTTTTAAAATATAAGTTTTTAAAAATTTCTTACAAATAAATATTAAATTAAATACAAATCTTGATATTGAGAATGTAAATAATATGCCAATAAATATTCATCATAATCAAATGTACTAAACCTTTCATTAAAAATTGAAATACATTTTTGATAAAACATTAAATGTTGATCTTGGAAAATATTTTTAATGGCAATAGCTAGTTTAAGATATCCTAAATAACAGTCAGCTAAATTAGCCGTTTTACTTTCAAGACATAAAATTATATCTTTAATTGGCTTTAAGACTTTAGAAAGATCTAAAACATTATTAAAAAATCTATGAGACTTTAAAAATGTTTTAATAATTTTTCTGGACTTGTTATTAAATAAATGTGAATTTTGATCTAAAATCTTCATATTAATTAGAATTATTAAATTATATATGACAATAATCAAATTATATTTAAACATAAATATACATACTTCTTCTAAAGATGTTTTATGTCGAAATACTAAATATATACATTCGTATGCACTAGTCTAATGAGTTTTCGTATAAGTTTTTAATCCGCCCCATATATATTCTTGTTTATAATCAATGAATGTAATTGATGTGACAAATTAAAAAAATTTACAATTGCAAAACATTGATGAAGAATTTTTTTTGTAAAAGTGCATTTTAAATATCATTCGAAATTAGATTCATACAATGTACAACATATCGCAAGTTCAAAATATGCGAAAAATGATTAGTGATTAATTGTTGTGCAAGTGCACAGTTAGAACCCCCATTAGTTACTATCACTCCAAATTTATCTCCCAGAGTTTCAAACCCTAACCTCGGGTTTCGAACCTATTCATGTGCTAATTCTATCGCGTTCACATAATCTACTGCTTTTATATATAGAAAAATCGAACTATATAACACAAAGAAAAGAAAATATACACAGTAAGGAAAATTTCGAAGAAATTTTCCATAACATATTCCTCCTCTAAAGGGTGAGCTCCGTCGAACCTGCCAACATCCTTCTGGTATCGACCTCCCTTAACCTCCTTGCTTCTGCCAACAATTCCATAAAGTCAGAGTCCAACATTTGCTCCAACACCGAAATTGAAATATGTTGGACTAGATACATACTATATTCGCCACGGGTACTAAACAACAGGTAGGTACGTTTGGCAATCTTCTAGACGAGACTTCCTTTTGAACCCGGAAGTTGCTAAGCCAACTTTTTCCTTGCTTCGTCGCCCCAGCCAGACTCAAACAGTAGGCTACTAACTTTATAGTATGTTTCCAGAATATGGGCATTAGACTGGACCTGAGGGTTCAAGTTTTCAACATCATCACACGCCTGAATTAGCCTTTCATTCCAGGTTGCACCAGCAACTTCAACAGGTAACACAGGGTCAAATCCAACAGGGTGGTCCAGGTCCCGAAGATACAGATGCATATCGTCGTGGATTTGCTGGGCCTTGCTCTTTTTTGTAGTCTTTCCAAACGTCTCTTCTATTTCTTGGTCTTGGTCGCGAAGCATTACTTGTGTCCCTTTTATCTCCAATTTTTTCTTCGGGTTGATTTGGTCGACAAGTTGCTGGATCGTTCTTCTCAATGTTTCTAGACGTTGCTCCATTTATTTTCGCAGTGGTTACTT